TATTTTGATAATGATCAAAATATGTCTAGATTTTTAAGATGGAAAACTGAAAAAAAATCTTCCACAAATCCTATATTTAGACACAATTACACTAATGTTTATCACTTTATATCTGTAATTTCGAACGGAAACATAATTATTTAATATTAAATAGAGGAATAAAAGTTTGCCCAATATGGCGGGTGGTTGTGTATAATCATGACATCGTCCATGTTGTCTTTAGGTTATTAGAGTGTTTTGGTGTTGCCTGCAGGTCATACAACAATTTGACAAATGTCTGAAATGAAATACCGACAGAGTCGAATGATTTACCCAGAATTTGTACCAGATCTATATCTTCTGTTTGAACAGTTGGTAAAACATTTTGAACCAATATGCATGCGTTGTTTGTCTTAAAACATTGGATATTGGCATTTTAACAAAAATATGACAGCAGAAAGTTAGGTTATGGTGAAGTTGTATACCAACATATTTAGCATATGTACAGCCTTTAACAGTTACTAAACAACAGTTGTATAAGTGCTTCCGTTGGGAGCAATTTGTTGGCTAAGGCCCGTATCGTCAGTCGTCGCTACAATTGTAGGGCGCCTTTATGGCCTCCTTGATTGTCATAGTTTTATACTTCTCCGTGAGAGCGCTCTATTTTGAGGTTATGTCACAAACATCTATTTGCATCAAATTGTGCTTGCTTTTGAGTTATATCATGTTTTAACAGTCTGAAATTTCCTACAATTTAAAAAGAAAACATATCTTCACAATAGGAGAGCGCTGACGCTGACACGGGACAAGTGTAATCTAGGAATTTTTGAAGGAGAGAAAGGAGTATGACAATCAAGGAGGCCATAAACGCGCCCTACAATATTGCAGGGATGACTGACGATACGGGCCTAAACATTACCATGGATGTCACAACACAACCATTTTGACTAACAGTTGTATAAACGTTTATGCAACAGTTAAAAATTTGCCCTATAAGGTGTTGTATAACTATGCTATAAGAATATTTTGAACACCTCACTGTAGAGCAAATATGTTGCAGAAAGCAAATTTGCATTCCACACAACATTAAGCCAGCATTTTGGTGTTCAGGCAACAATAGAGAGCTTTTATGGCTGAACGGTTTTTTTACCAAAAGCTTGTATCACTACTTCGCTAGTTCTGTCTCGTTTTTGAAATTCAGCAAATTTGCATGTATAAAGTGCAGACTGAATAAGAAACAGTGAATGCGCAACTAGTTTCTAGCCTTGAATCTCAAGTTAGTGTATATGAGACAAGAAACCAATGGCATTATAATCAACACAGATCATTAGCACAGCCTTTTTCTTCCAGCTATTGTAAACAACCTACAGCTTAGATCTCCAATAATGCCATCTCTGAAGCAGACGTCACAACAGAGTTAGACATTGATAACTGAAGCATCATGACGTTTAGGCAACAAGTAAAGCTACAAACCGAGTTCACGACAAGTATACAATAGCTAGTGCTAGTTAGCATCTTGTAGGAAAACCTACGTTATGTCACAGAAAACCAGCAAAATGACAAAAAAAAAACGGACAAAATGTCACTTTTCAACCATGCTGAAATGCTGAAGAATTACTCCGCACACTCATCTACGGTGCTGAACAGCAGCTATATCCGCATAGGTACAAAAGCAGAAATATCTATTGATTAATGATGTACCCGTATATTTGCACATTTGCTGGAGAAAGGTTGAACAGAATCTCTATTTTTTTACTTGGTTGGACAACACTAGGATACATTTTTCCAGTATTAGGTTAAATAGATAGGAGATACTCACAAAAGTTCTTACTCAATAATAGCTCACTTCTAAAACAAGATATGTGATGTACTAATTTGTCTAACTAAATTAACGTCACGGGTGCCCTCACTATGCGTGTACATGTTGCAACCGACTAGGTTAGTATATTAGTTAGTTAGCTGACAATCTCCACACAAAATGCCGTCGTACAACAATTGCATTGAATTCAGCCGTAGCGTATCACACAGCATGTAATGGACTGACTAGGTGAATCTTTGACTATTTAAAAAACTGTTTATTTGAATAACTTGTTAAATACCACATATTGATGTTTGCTAGTCATTCAAATAAATGGCAACATACACAATGTCATGTAAGCGATTAAAATATCAGGGGTTAGACATCTATTTTAATCTGCAATCTGGCTTCCAACTACGTTTTTATCTGGCCGCTGAAAGGGAACTGACTAAGATAGGCAAACAGTTAAACGACATCGATCCCAGTCATTCGCCTGGCTGACTGAATATTGTTAGGCAACTGGCACCATTTAGTTTAGAGACTATGCACTTAAACCAGTTGGCTACACAAGGGAGCTAGAAAACGAAAATCGGCAATAAATAAGATTGAAAATGATACACTGATTTTTTAGTCTGCACGTTGCTGTTTTTTTTGTTAGACTAAAATTATGTAGAACTTTGTTTTGGGATGGCTGAATTTTGTAAAAGTAAAGTGAGTTTTAAAAAAAATATTTTTTGTACATTCAAACCACTTTGTGACGACTCTTGTTTCTTTTATTGTGTAGTTACGCCAACAATTTGAAACTAGACATGGGTGGCAATGTATCGAAAATACTGTTTCAAAAATAAAAATTGTTTTATTCTATACATAGTGTTATACATACAAACAAAAGGTAAATGACAAGAAAAATAATCACTTTGTTTAAGTCGACAACACAACAATATTTATAGGTTATGCTTACAGATCATTAGAGACATAAACGCCGGTATGTGCTGTATAGTTATCGGTCAAATACAGAAAACCAGTTTTAACGCAGAGGCGAAAATCTATTTAAGCCGGTTCGTGAAAATTGTTTTCGGAATTTTATCCCTTACGCAATTTTTAAGAATTTTATTTCCAATCAGCGAACTGATATACAGTTACGTCACTTCGTGAGGTAAGAGTCTACGAAAAATGTTTGAAATTGCGGCGCAACTCGATTTTGGATTTTTTTTGTCATTTACGCCTGTACGTGCGGAGACCGTCGATATATACTTTGAAAACGGTTGTGTTGACGCAAGGCCAATATTCAAAAAAGAAGAATATTTCAGTGGTTATGACAAAGCATTTACACGTGCATTGTGCAACTGTCGAGGGGTACATGCTGTTAAGAGAAATCGTAGCTAGCCACGAGAGCTTGGTTTCCTAAAATAATGCTCAAATGTCGCTAATGTCATGTTTTCTAATAACACTGCACCCAACATTTTTTTAAACGTCTTCACTTTGATTCAAAGAAATGCAAAATTCTACTTTCCTGACGCTGCTGTACTTTGATTCAAAAATTTCTGCGCAGATGTTAGGTATGCGCTCATTAGTCAAAGTTAATTTTCATATTCCCTTCTTCCATATCTATTTCATATAACCTTATATAAGATTTCTCTGAAGCTGATTATTTGCGAGTTGAGAATAAAGAAAATACCTTAATGTAACTATTATCACAAGACGAAAACATAATAATCATTATAATTCAAAACAGATTTTGTCCAAAACTATAAGCTTACCTACAACATTACATATAAGTTGGCCATTATTGTTTTTCCGGAAGACTCGCCTCTACGGTTTTCTCCAGCCCCACTTCCACCTCACGTGGTCACGACACCCACGCACTAGGCACGCATACTTATTCAAATTTGGCTGCCTAGTATGCAAGTACTTCGATTAATCTGTAGCTGTTATCCGATTTCCAACACTGGTAATTATGGAACATTATTAGTGCTTTAATAAGTGCTCGACTATATTTCACAAATGCTGTGTACGAATAACCCACAATGCAACATATAAAGAAAACTGGCGAGATATTCAAGAAATATTCATTGATTCTTTTGGTGAAATTACTAATTCTAATGAAATAAAAAATAAAAGCATTTTACCGTATGCACCTTTGCATCATTGTTTGAATTCTGCGGAAAGTTTTGCGGATAAGCTTGCTACGACGCGCATCTTTACAAATGTCTAATCCTTCAGGTTGAGCTTGCAAAATACTTACCTAGGTCAGTTAACAGAGTAAATACACCCACCCTATAAATGGTCTAGTAGTAGAATTTTGTGTGTGACGTATGTAAGTCCTCTACAGGTAGCTATTCTTTCTAGTTTGACTGAACTAGTTAAACGCTTTTATCTACAGTCTGAGGTTAAAATGTTCTGTAGGAAGGGTGAGTGACGTAGAAGTGCTGCTTTATGAAACCTCTATTGTTGATGGAAAGCGGTCTGGCACACGAAAACTTGAAAAGCATGTGGAGAAACTTATTTATGCAAAAACACAGGTTTAAGGTCGACCAGCTCTAAGATGGCGTACTGAAAGCTGAGAGGGAGAAATCATAAGACACGTGTGGAAAAAGAGTTTAGAAGCACCGCTTTTGGTGTCTACTCAAACTTTCTGAGCTTGAAAGAGAAGCCTTGTGTCTATGAGATAAAGGCTCAACAATCCAACGATATCATCTGATAGATGTCTGGTCGCTTTTGCATTGTAAGATGGTGCCATCACAGCCGATTAGGCAAAGATCGTGGGTAGAAAGTAGAGATGGCTCTGGCCCAAAATATCTAAATGCTATCCAAACCCTATCTAGCCCAAAGATTCAAACTGAGCAACTTTTATTTTAGACCAGAACTTCCTATCTATATTACGCTGAAGAAACAGACTCTAATAATGCAAATGACAATGTCCATAATTGGCATGTGTCTGTTTTGATGACAGCCAGCAACAAGAAAATATATTTCTGGGTCGACATAACAAGCATACATTTGGGTAGGCTCACAAACACACGTTTCCATTCGTAAACAACAGCTTGAAAAATATGAAAATGGGCTCTGCTGGGATGGAAACCTGCATCTTAAACATTCCATCGATTTAGTTAACGCTCACTTGAACGCCGCAAGATGGAGCACTAAGGCAGCTTGAAAGAACTAAGGAGCGGTGAGTAGGATTGAATTTGCCTCTAGCAGTCCTGAAAGTTGGTTGACAGCTGATGCTGTAGACTAATTGGTTAGGTCAGCTTTATGGAGTAGATGAGATCCGGGTTCAAATCCCGCCGGCACCCCATTTTACGCTCTTCTAGAAAGTTGTAGACACATTTCTTTGTCTCTCTCGACAATGTATGTATGTTTGATTTCACTTTTGTTGATCTTTGATGAGAGACTTAGCAGTGCTTGAAAAAACGTTGATAGTATTAAGTTCTTTAGTTTGTCTAGAAAGTTAATCAAAACAGCAACCCTCTATCACCAAATTCATGTGTATGCAAGAACGAGTAGCAGCAGAGTTGAGGATCGGTTAGCACTGTGTGCAATTTTCCTCAGGGAAGTTAATCTCTTTACAGTCACTCAATCGCTTACTTATTTTTTAAGTCATTGTGTCGTAACTGCCAAAAACCGTCAAGTTAACTTTACATGAATACTCTGGGCACTTAGGTTCTGAAGAGTTTAATGAAACTACCCAAACATAAGTTGGCACATGAACACACATCACATTCTGATAATTTGGTGATTTCTTCTGAGATCCAAAGCAAATAATCAGAGACATTTTACTTCGACAATAATACCACTACGGCTGAGTTTACACGCGTTACAACGAGTTTGTTATGTAGGTATTTTAATGTATGACCACATTCAAAAGAAGAAAAAGAGGTAGAAGGAAGAAAAATACGCATATTGAGATGTCCATTACTTCTCAAACCCTGACAACTTAATTGTTTAACTATAAACTTTGAGGTAACAGATATTTGGCTGGGTTTTGGAGGGTATTGAAAGGTAACCATTTGCAGTAATGTAGAAAACGTAAAAATCATATATATCATAGTATATCCAGTACTTCTTTAACGTCAGAAGGCTTTTATATAAGTATTCCTTGGAATTTGTCAAGAGCAAGATGGTCGCTGGAAAATAGTATACCATGCCTGTGATGAGATATGAATACCAAAGGCAGGTTGACGATATAAGGTATAAGTGGCTATTAGAGCAAGGATTGCCATGCACGTGCCTTTGATTATATTACGAACCATTGATATAAGTTCCCAGAGAACCGTTTGAAGCTTGCAGTGGCTATTTATTCCCACATCTCATACGATTTCCCATTTCGGATTTCGTTTCATATTCCAATCGTTGATAAAAATATTTGTAACAATGATATTTGATGTTGCATGCCCTTTGTGTAAAGAATTATAACAGGAACATGAGTTACATGCCATATTGGAGCGATAATTTGCCTTTGGTGAAGTATTTGCTTCTATGTCTAATATATGAGAAACTCCGCTAGGTCATATCTCCACTATCTTTAGTTTAAAATGACCAGAAATGCCTCTATACAGCGCACAAGCCGCTGAGTGGGGCTTAGCCCACGGCTCTTGGCTCTTTATCCGTACTACAATGCAGATTACAGAAGCAAATTGACATTTTCAACCGACTGAGGACATGAAGATACGGAAATGTCAAGGACCGGCAGAACATTTCTTATGGTTTCTGGACTTTAGGAAAGTTTTTATTAAAGTCAAGAACGTATAATTTCCATAGTTTAATATATTTAGGGCCAATTTCACCAACAACAGTCCATTATTCTCCACCTATAGGGTAACAGACCGTCAGATACAGCGAATGAGCTTTATGTTCCAATCAACAAATTTTAGCAACTAATAGCTATGAAATGTTGAAAACAAAATACTGTCAAAGTATGAGATGATAACTTGTCATTGAAACATCACCAGCTTATTGAATATTAAGAAATTACATATAATTCAGTCAAAATTGTAAGAAATGTTTGATTTTTGAATTAAATTCATGTTTTAATTACTATTGTTGATTTTTTATTCATGTTTATATTATTTTCTTCAATTGATATGCGATACTGGGTGTTTTTTACTATAAACCTCTTGCAGATAGCCATTAAGCACCTACTTGATGACAGGCTTTACCAAAAGATATTGCTCGTTTCCAAACATTCATTCATTTACTTGCCGTTCATCTGAACCATTATGGCACCTTAGATTGATATTCCCACAGAACCATTCAGGTTTTTTGATATCCATACAGCCATAAAGTTGAATATTTTTCATTGTTCAGGGACTGAACAAACATCCACACTATATTCACAGCGAATAATAAATTCCCAAATATATGCCTTAAAGCTACCAGCAAACCTAAAACCTGCAAAAAAAACTACAAATTTGCCATATTTTTCTTTTTTCACGAGTACACATTCTAGGTTATATTTATATTAGACATTATTTGAATACAGCTGATTATTGCATTTCAAGGAGTGACACATGTGTGGGATCTGTCAACTCTTGGTACCAGTCACAAAACATAATATATTCTGAAGGTTTAATTCCATGCTACTCAATGACAACACGGTGACTTGTGTGGTTGTCAGCGGCCATTCTGTGAGGGTGCGACAGGGTTGCCAGATTGTGCATTAATATCCCGTTTCACCCTCCTGGTCCCAGTAGAGTAAGTTCCGCCAACTGTTGAAATATACTCTACTATGCTTTATAAGACTATTCGTGACATTTTTCCCAAAATTATTGCACAACACTTGAAAAAATGCAAATGAAAATTTAAAATTATTTCCATGACGCCGCAAAATAGCTCCGTCGGTACCTTGGGTTATGCATCTTGACAGTAGGGTTGTTCGATACGATCCTATATTTAGAAGTATCAATACATTTCACGAGTATCGTCATCTTTCGATCCGGACTGTGTCAGAAAGAGTGACTGCCATTTGGCTGCGACATTACCCTGCCAAATCAGACATATCTTTCATCATTTTCAAAGAAATTGTACAAAATCTTCAACTTTGTGAAGTTAGCGAGTTTCACTTCATACGTTGTTACCAGACATGCCCAAATCATCAGTTGCTGCCGTGATATTCATCCCGACTACTGTATCCCCACGGCTAGGCGACCTGTATGTTAAATTTGTGTTGATAGGGCAGCGGGTTATGCTATAAATCATATGTCACAGTGTTTGTGCACTGATTGCAACGGCTAGATGATACCAAAAATATTTTCATAAATCGGAGATCTTTCCCATTCCAGATAGAACAATCTACCAGAGATGCTTATAATCATGATACCTAGTAAATTTTCACGAAAAAATTCAAAACCAGCAAATGTAAAAGATTCGTTTCGCACCCTCCACCACGGGACGTGATCGTCGTTAGACTTGGCAACCCTGCGAGTGACAGATAGATATCCCCGCCAGTGCGCCAGTCAAAAAGACAAACATTAAACATTACTAATTTTTATGATTTTTGGACTTAAAAGACATTATTTGCGAAACATTTTTCATAATTTTTTGTCTATGTCCATAGAAATTGCATTATGCATCAGGGAAATGTAGGGATTGACACGTCTTACACACATTATCTGTATTTTAGGATGGAGAGGACATAATGTTTTTATTGCTTTGAAGAAATTCATTAACCCATAAATTAATAAATGATTACTATTATGACGTAAAGGAAGATGAGGAACTGGATGAAATGTATTTTATATTCTACTTTTTTGCAAAATACAGACAAATCCACACTATTCAACAGGTATGTAATGATAACTTTCAGTATATTGGAGTTGGTAAATTCGAGAGTGACATGCATTAACAAACGTCCAAATCTGCTGCCAAATTTAACAGCTAGAAAATTGACCTATTATTTGCCGCATTCCCATTCGCTGAGGGGGAGATCGGATTAATAAATGTAAACCTATAACATATATCAAAATACATGAAAGTTGTCCTGTTTTTTCTGTACAAAAGCATCATGTTGGAATCAAAAAGTGGTCTTGTCTATATTTCAATAGAAATCACTAATATTCAGAGACCTTTGACAGCTTCTGTCAAATTGCATTTCGATAAGGTATTTTCCCATTGGACCATAATATTAATGTTGGTGAAATGGGGCCTTTCGACATGTATTGGATGATTTGATGAAACAAAAGGTTCAGTTTCAATAAACCAGTCAATCACATGCCAAAGAGACCGAACCGTTAGTGAAGTTGCTTTAAATAGTGCATAATGAAATATGTCCATATCCACGCTTGTTCAACTACGGTTCTCACATTCTGGATAGTCATTCATCAATACATTTATTACAGAAGATGCGACAATTTTGGTCTAAAATCAGGTCTGCTTACCATCTACTGTCCGACGCTGAGTGGTTCGACTCAACATTGTAAAAAACTGGATGACTGCTTCACGGACAGCTTGTAGTTATTTCGTGTGTTTCTAGTGCGCTTGTCGTAACAAGACAAAAAGGAGTCGCCTTTCCTTTGTCGCCATCATAGCCGACGACGTCGTGCATGGTTTCATAAAATTGCCGCTTCCAGCGCACGTTATCCCAATGGTGATCTTCACGTAAAAGTTGACCTGTACACTTAGCATTAGCGCAATAACCACTTGGAATGTGGCGGCGCCAGCGACACATGCCAACCATAAATTCGCTTGCACGCGAACCATGCTTCGATTATGCCCGCCCCAACCTTTTTTGTCCTTTTTCCTGCTGAGGTTCTCGAGCTGGAATCAGGACCGTCCTTGAATTAATTTCGACGGGAGACAACAAAATCGTTTTGGAACTGATCCTTCATATGATATGTAGGAGAAATAAAACAGGCTAGAAAAATGAATCTTTCAAAGAATAGTTCTAGTGTTATCCTATGAAGTACATTGTTTATGGATCTGTTTGGGGGGAAATGGTACTTCAACATCTCCAGGAAACCATGTTGTTTGTCTTGTGTGAACAGTAAAGGTCTTGAGATGGCGAAGTAAAACGTTTGCGTATTTGAGATCCAATAACAAACCATAAGAAAAAACCTGGATGTAAGAAACCTATGGTTCATTAGCTTGGTTGGAGAAGGATACTCAGACAAATTGGGTCATGGTTCACAGAAGGTTCACAGAAGAACTGGAAAGACAATTGGTGTTTAATTTTATATGGGCTGATTCCTTTGCCTTCCTTTTGTAACTGTTATACGCTTTGTATAATATTGTGTATTCCTCCCATTTCACCCTCTGCCTGTTTCCCCAACATGCTCGCTCAGTCCTGATTTTGAGGTTC